GAGAAACCCTAAACGAACCAAAGAGCATAAAGAGTGAAGGAACGAGCTAATTTCATCACCATTAGTGCATTCTTGAAAGAAGGAGAAGGGCTTAAAGCTAGGCTGATTGAGGGGCTCAGACCTACCATTACTTCTTCAAAGGTTGTTGTTGAGGTATGAATCCATCCCTATTTCGTGTATATAGTAGATCTCTTGAATCTAGGGTTTCCTTACCTTTATTTAGTTGGAATATGGAGCATGTGAAGTCTCATTGAGGAATAGACTTCAGATCTGGACCTTGAGAGGTCCAGAGTGTCCCAACAACCAAGCTTTATGCTGTTACATGAGAAAATTGAGCCTAGGACTTCATTTTTAGAGCTATTTCATCAAAAGAGCCATATGTGCGATGCATGAACGTAAAGTTCAGACCTTTACGTGATTTTTGGGTGTTAGAAGGCCATATCAATAAGTTAGAGAAACACATCTGACCTTAGGAGGTCAAATCAGTGTTGCCGTGGAAGAAACTCGCCGAGTTCAGGAGAGGACTTGAAGAGTCAGATCGGGTTGCCCTGCGATTCGTGATCAGTGGTAACCCGTCGAGTGAAAGGTTAACTCGACGAGTCAAGTAAGGCCTTAAGAGGATTTAGAGGACACGTATGGACTCACCGAGTCACCTTATGCATTCGGCGAGTCTGGTCAAAGTTGGACCGTTGATTGGAGTTGACTTTAGTTGACCTCAGGGATTTGTCAACAATTGGACATTGCACCATTGGAGGGGTAAAATGGTCTTTTTCCCTTCTGAGAGAACATAGGAAGGAACTAGTCTAGTCTTTGAGAGTCGTATTAATTAGAGATAATTACTTATGTGATTAGGTGGAGGCTAGATCAATGATTCGAGTTCGAGACTTTCCGAGATTACCCGAGGTGAGTTTTCTCACTATACATTACCTAGAGTGGTATATATATATGCAGACCAGAGGGTCTTATGTGCTATGTGTATGATTGAGATTATGTGCATTGTGTTACGTGTATGCTATGTGTTACATAGACCGGACCGGAGGGTCCAATGACTTACGAGGTCGGAGGGTCCTCGATTAGACCGGACCGTAGGGTCCAACGATTTAGATTGGATCGGAGGGTCCAATGAGCTACGGGACTGGAGGGTCCTGCTGAGACACATCGATTGGAGGGTCGTACCGAGTTATAGCCTTGAGTGGCGTATATGTTGTATGTGGTATTTTTAGGGAACTCACTAAGCATTTATGCTTACCGTGTTATGTGATGTGTGTTTCAGGTACTAGCGAGGATCGCGGGAAGGCGCCGGCATGATCTGTACACACTGATGGAGTTTTATGTATTTGAGATCCTGAGATATGTTTTACTGTGATAACATGTGATACATTTTGAGTTTTGAGATTACTTTATGAGACATATTGTGTTTGAAAAATGAAAAAAATCATTTTGAAAATCTACGTCGTTACAGTGTAGAATCGTACTAAGTTAATTATGTCGTCTATTTCTACATTTTGTCTTTTAAAGATTTGATGACACTTTCTTTTGTATTTAGTTTTTCTTAATGTTTTTTAAAGACTCATCACCACTTATATAGTTTTTTATGTATACATCATAAGCAACATCAAATGCTATAATTTAGAAAATTATAACATTATATACCCATTATCGCACAAACATATATACCAATCCCTAAAGTTTGCATCATTATGTGTGTATTTGCAACAAAATAAGTCCACCATGCAAGGATTTTGGATGTCAAGTGGACAGTCACCCAAAGAATGATTGGCTATAATGAACAATAACATGATGGTATGCATAACTATTAATAATTTCATTCTCTTAGAATCTTTGTTTATATCACAAGAATTATAGATTTAGAGATCTTGTTTCTCGTATTTTTTTTTTTTTCATTTCATTCTTAAGGAATCTGATAACATTCTTGTAGAATTTTTGTAATTTATATATATATATATATATATATATATATATATATATATATATATATATATATATATATATATATATATATATATATTACATTCTTAAAGAATCTGATTACATTCTTGTACAAAATGCTTAATTTCTTTATATTTTCATTATGTTAAAATTTTCGTTTATATCATAAAAATTATCGATTCATGATTTTGTTTCTCAAAATGGTTTTTGTTTTATCTCATTCTTAAATAATTTGATCAAATTCTTATTGAATATGCTTAATTTATAATACTTTTCTTCACAATCTTACAGAATCTGACAATAGATCTAATATTCTTTTCAAAGAATTTTTTTGTTGTTCATGCATAGGAATGGAACACTAAATGGAAAGTAATTCTTGAATGGAACACATAACAATGAATGCAGAATAAAAGCTTTTTTTAGAAGACTAAACCGTTAAAAAGAGAGTGATTCTTAAAGAATAGAATGCATAATTGAAGCTACTATTTGAAGAACATCATGCAGAATACTAGAATATTAATTTAGATTAGAAAGGTTAATGTTCAAAACTATAATTTGTATTTTTAAATTTTGATTTGAAAATTTTGTAGAATTTGGTTTGTATCCATTATATATGCATTTTCCTAATTAGTATTAAACAAAATATCCAATCTACCTGTATTGGTTGTTTTAATATATAAAAAAAATATTTTTATAATTAGTTACCATCATGTCATTATTCATCCTAACCATTCATTCTTTTAATCTAATTGACCAAATATGGTCATACATTCATACAATAATTTTGCAGAATTGGGATGTATTTTTTAAGAATATTACTTCTCAACAAATAGTATTCTTCAAGAATAAATGAATAAAAAAAAACTACTAAATGCAATTGTATTCTTTAAGAATAAAATAATCAAACTTTTTTAAGAAAGAAAGCATCAAAATACAAGTTCATATTTACTAAATGAAGTCGTATTCTTAAAAAGTCTCATTTATTATAAATGCAATTGTATTCTTTAAGAATAAAATAATCAAACTTTTTTAAGAAAGAAAGCATCAAAATACAAGTTCATATTTACTAAATGAAGTCGTATTCTTAAAAAGTCTCATTTATTATAAATGTATATATCCAATAAGATAGTATATTTGGTTTAATTTTTATTAATTAGTTCTATTTAGTTTCCTAAAATGTAAACAAATCTCAATTCTCTCTCCTTACAAAATTTAGTATTTGGCGTTACAATTAATTAAATCTAAGTATACAACATATGCGAGCCTATATTAATAACATGTATCGTAAAATCACAACCATTTATTTTTTTAATCTAGTGGTCAGGATTTAATCACACATTTACACAATATTTATGATCCACATTTGATCCCAACCCTATATATATATATATATATATATATATATATATATATATATATATATATATATATATATATATATGGTGTGAGACTCATGTATTACATGAGTTTATTTTAAAAAAATTAAATATAAAATTTTAACAATTTGAAAAGTTTGAATTTATAAGAAAAATGAGAAAAATTTTAAATTATTAAAATTAATGAGGCTTTAATGTACTGAATACATTACATATATAAATCATTTCTAATAAATACATTACATATATATTACCTTACATATTAAATGTAAAATTTTAATTTAATAAAATGAAAAATACAATAAAATGATAAGTGGAAAATAGAAAATTTAAAAATTTTAGAAAATGTCATATGTCTAAATGATGAAGAAAATAACATATGGCAAAAAAAATTTCATTTATATATATATATATATATATATATATATATATATATATATATATATATATATATATATATATATATATATATATATATATATATATATATATATATATATATATATATGGCCCATATTTACTTTTGGCACAAGGCTTCAAAATCAACAAAACCGTCATTGAGTCATGTGTCACCTGCCCGTTTTCCATCAAGTAAGAGCTATGGAAATTGTCCAACACAAACGATCAATGGAACATGCCTAAAGTTTCAACCCGAGGAGTTCCTTATAGGTCATAGGATTTCAGTCGCCAATTATCAGGATCCCACATAATTGGGGAGAGCCCAAACACCAAAGGATCTGGTATGGTATACGCATGCATTATTGCGTAGTATCGTCATGGAGAAGCAAGACAATATACCACGAGGTGACACGAAGTGGCAGTGTTATGTGTTTCTAAATGAGGTCGAGTGATGTTCTTACCAAGCTTTGCTTATCAAACAGTAGTGCATATATACATCGATCTAGGCATGAGAAATGTTTTCCACTAATTGCATGCATTCCCGAGATGCACATGAAATGTGCCTAATTCATGCCGTCTTAATTATATCAACTTAACATTTTCTAACATTTGCCACCATGGGATTTTTATCAATGTTGGGAACACAAACACTACATCTAGGGGGCCAAATCAAAACTTCATAATTAAAATATATAAACAAGTTTTATTTGGTTCAAAATCATGACATCAGAAGTGTAAACAAGAAAACTAATAAAGACTATCACATCGTTTATCAATCAGAAGTGTAAACAAGAAAACTAATAAAGACTATCACATCGTTTATCAAAATCGAACGACCAACATGTTGATATCTATGACACAACCAACATTACTAACAATCAACAAATATCAATATAAAATAACAATAAAGTTTTTTACTCTAAAAAGATAATATAAACATTCAAATAAATCAATAATTCCATTTAGAATGAATAATAAATTAATAAATATATAAGTCATTTACTTTTTACATCCTTTAATTCAATAATTCTATTGATAATAAACTAATAAAGATAAAGTAAAATATATATATATATATATATAATATATATATATATATATATATATATATATATATATGTATATTTACAAGCTGTCAACACATATATAGTGTGTAGTCATAATCATATTTTACAAATTCTACTTTATTGACTATTGCTAGTGACCAGGGACAAGCATTAAAAGCATCCAATATAAATATAAAGAAAAAATAAAATAAAGCATCACAGATAGAAAGAAAAAGAGAGAGAAACAATGCGACTTACCTGAGAAGTGAGAAATGGCGACCAAATTAAATCAGTGGAGCACTAAATCAAACGGGCGGAGGTCACCTCTCAACAGTCAGCGACTCAGCGGTCCAGGCTCCGGCGACTAGAAAAGAGAAGGTTTCAGCGACCGACAAAGAGGAGAGAGATCGTACGGTACGAATGCGGGGAACAATCCAGCGACCAGAAAAGGGCGCACGACAGCAACGATCTTAATGGGTGTTGTTATTCCGGTGAGTTTCAAGAAATAGTTTTCCGGCGGCCCGAAGAAACTTGGGATTTTAGATTTACACTTTTTGGTTTCTTAAACTCAAACTTGGGTTAAATTGTTGTAATGTTTGATTAGATTGTGGGTTTTTATAAATTTTAAAAGATATTAAGTTTCCTTATTTCAAAGAATCGTAAAGAAGCAAGGTTCAAGGTTGGTTTTGATTTTGGTAAATATATTCCTAAAATTTTGTAACCGGTTTATGTTCGCATGATATGGAAATCGAGGGGGCAGGAATGTCATTCTAGATTTTTTTTCAACTTGATTTTCCGATTATGTAAATACTGGTATAAAGAGACCTAAAAACGGGGAGGCCATGGCCTCCCCTGGCCCCTAAGATGGCCCGCCACTGGTTGGGAAGAATTTTTTTTTTTCTAACAACAGGCTATTTTATTTTATGGAAAAAAAAATGAGAATTAGTAGTAAAATAAGGATGTTTCCTAAAAATAGGTATTCACAATCCATTAAACTTATAAGAGTTTAATGAATTGATACATCATCAATTTACTTAGTATACAACTTTATATTAATTTTCCTATAATTGATTGAACTCAATAGAGTTAAATGGATTATAAGTTTAATAGTTAAAAGGTTTCCTTTTTTTTCGATATAGTTCAATGACCATTGAACTCCGTATTTTTAAATGTCAATATGACATCTCACAATTATAGAGTTTAATTCATTCAATGCCAATTAAACAAGTCCCCTCATTCAACTCTCTCATTGAAACATGCGTTATGGATGCTCTTACTGACAATCTAGTTATGTGTGTTGTAAATTTAGTCTAAGTCTTATGAAAACAAAACAAAATGAAAAATATATGAAAAAATACAAGAGTTTTGACCTTCATTAATTTCCTTTACAACCCCAAGGTCATGGTTATATATAGCCATGCATGGGTTGGAGCTTGATGTACAGCTTCATTCGTTTGAAAGTACATTTAGAGGGAAATGGTAGACTCTCTCACCATATATTGAGTATTAATTATCCAGATGTAGAAATGCTTCGATTAAGATTACAACGTGTAGTTCTTCATTTCTTCACTTTTCAGTAATTTTTTATTTTTTGATCCATATGCAGGCCACAGCCACTACTGATATAGTAATTGGACCTTGGGGAGGTGAAGGTGGCGACACTCCCTGGATATTCAAACCAGAGGGTAGGATTGTCGATATATCCATCCGAAGTGAAGAAGCAGTAGATTCCATTAGCTTCAACTACACGGATAAAGAGGGTCTTGAAGACGATTCTGAAATATATGGTGGCGATGGTGGCTTACTTCATGCGGTGAGCTTTAATAACATTTGTTACGTATACATATGTAGAAGTTATATTCTTATTTTATCATATAGCATTCCATTATGATATATTTGGATATTCACTTAGCCTTGTCCGAGGGTGAAAACATCATTGGGATTAGTGGAACTATCGGAAAAGTTTCAAACAACACAGTGATTACATCATTGTCTTTCAAGACAGACATACAATCCTATGTTGGATTCCATGGAAAACATGGGGCTTTGCTCGACTCTATTGGTGTCATTCTTAGTCCCGCAGAGTGAGGCTGGCCGAGATAATTTGTGGCATGCAGCATGCATGTATGCTAGCTGTTTGAAGTGATACCATTCTCATAATAAAGAAGCCTAAGAGAAACATTGTGAAATAGTTGTGTTGTTCATAATTAGTGGTCCAGATCTGCCACTCGTACGTAGGCTTTATGTTTTAAGATCCTAGCATGTATGCACAATAATTATGTGAGATTTTCAATATAAGCACACAATATAGGAAGTTATAGTGACAATATGCTCACCCACTCATGTACTCCTTGATTAAAAGCTTCAAAATGATTTTTTTTTTTCTTTTTCTTGAGACGGCGATATATATTAATCTACTCCTAAAACTATTAATTAATTCTAAATATAACACTACAAGAAAACAAGACATTAGCGGGACAAAAATCTTCGCTTAAACTTAACATTGTCACCGGTAAAAGTAATAACGGCGACACGTCGGCACTAAAAAATCGTCAGTACTGTCCCGTTGTTATTGCTCAAATATGTCATTGCTAAAGATAATTGCCGCCGCTAATAACAGAGTCGTCGGCAATACCCACTGTCGTCGTTGGTAATACCTATATCACCCGGAACAGTATGTGCCGCCGGTAATATTATATTTTTATTTTATTTTTTAAATCGGGCATTTTCAGGTCAAAAAAAAAAAAAAAAAAAAAAAAAAAAAAACTATTTAACAACATTAATTGTAGAAAACACAAAAGTATTAAATGCGGAAAAAGAAATTACATAACGACATCCAAGTAAATACCAAGGTGCAATAATTCATACAAAAACCGAAATAAACAATAAAAGTGTTATAAACTTATGCCAAAACAAGTCTAACGTACAAAACACAAACTAATGTGACGAACCATCAACTTCGCTCTCATCGTTTCCTCCTTGATCATCACTTGGTGGTTTGCCGAATGAAAAAACGCATAAAGTTCCTCCTTACACGTCTCCTTGAACATTGCACGAAAATTTTCCAACTACATAATAAATAACAACATATATAAACTTATAAGTTAAATATCATCATCTTATTAGTTTTTTAATAAAATATTCCGCTGTTTCAAAAAAAAATAATAAAAAGGATAAAAAGAAATAAAATAGGGCAAAAGACTCCTTTTAATGGACAAAAACTCAACAAAAACATAAATGAGGACTGTACGAGTTAAAAAACAAAATTAAAGACACAACTCACAGTTACTCCAAACCACAAGGTCCATTCGTGTAATTTACCCTATATAATATATTCTATATTTCTATTAGATACTATATGCAGTGCTGTCCGTATAGAAGTGCAGCAAGACAACGTGTCACCAACTTTACTCTCCGGTGGCAACTTCCTTTAATGACAGATGTACATCTATTCTCTATGCTTGTCTTCTTCTTCATCCTTTTGATTACGTATGCATTTTTGCATATAACACAGGGTGCTCTTGCTCTTGAGGTTTTTGTATTCTATTTTGATCGCCATTTCCTTCACATTCAACTGGAACCATCGCCTCTAAGCATTGTAGGACCTCATGGAAGGTAAATTCCTTCAATTTCTTCATATTCTTTTCCTTCTTCATCTACTTCTTTTTTAGGTTTTGATTTCGGTGTAGAAGATGCATTGATTGCTTCTGTTTAATCTTCTGTAAAAGAGTAATAATCCGTCTGGAAACAACACTCAAACGTCTAACTGAGATTTAATTTCAAATTTGAGTTTTAATATCAGTTTTTCCAATAATAATGTATAATATGATGCTTTAGTTGCAAATATATCTCTAAAACTATCTCTCACATTGCATGATCAAACTTGTCATTTTGTAATGTATTACAACATACATTTTTGAGGACGCTAACAACAAATGGCTTTAATCGGTGATATTAATACAATTGAACCAAGTCACTCAACCAATTATCGTAATTTTAATGACTCAAATGTGTCACAAAAAAGTTAAATTTCATTATCTCGGAATATATTTCACATCTTGCACATTAGGTGTGACGTCTCTGCTAATTTATTGTGCATTGTATGTAAAATTTCAGATTTGTTACTTAAGAAATGTGTGCCATGTGACAAGAAGGATTTGAGCCCCATGAGGGAGGAAACTGCCAATAGGTTTAGACTCCAGGTATGGTTTAACATAAAAGAAGGGAAACTTATCTTATAATATCGATTAAACCGTAATCTAGCCTAAAATATTTAAACTTTATCAGAAAGTTTGCTAAAAATATTGATTTTTGCTTCTTTTTTTTTTCACATACTCGCGTTCGGCAGTCATTTACATTTGTTAAACCAAATATATATATATATATATATATATATATATATATATATATATATATATATATATATATATATATATATATATATAGGTTTAGGTTCATTTGAGACCATTCTAATTTTGTGAGACCGTCAGACCAAATCTAAAAATAATTTTAAAATGCAAAACAAATGGAAAAATCCAAAAATTCTTTTTTTAAATATTATTTTCGGAACTTGAATTAACTAAAAAAATATTAAAAAATATAAAAAAAAATAAAAAAAAATTCCGTTTTTTTTTTTGAAAAATACGTGAAATATTCTAAATAGAATATTACACTGACATATTTTAAAAAATAATTTTAAAATGCAAAATAAATGGAAAAATCTAAAAATTCTTTTTTTAAATATTATTTTCGGAACTTGAATTAACTAAAAAAAATAAAAAATAAATAAATTAAATAAAAAAAATTCTATTTTTTTTAAAATACGTGAAATATTCTAAATAGAATATTACACTGTACATATTCTAAAAATAATTTTAAAATGCAAAATAAATGGAAAAATCAAAAAATTCTTTTTTTAAATATTATTTTCGGAACATGAATTAACTAAAAAAAATTTAAAAAAAATAAAATTAAAATAAAAAAAATAAAAAAATGCGTCTAACGGTCTCACAAAATATAGGTGGTCTCACAAAATATATATATATATATATATATATATATATATATATATATATATATATATATATATATATATATATATATATATTGTTTTTCTTATACAATGTAAACAAATTAAGAAAAAAGGTATTTGACAATAGCCTTCAAATTCGTTTGTTTCCCCGGCTCCGTCCCCGGATTCTTGCGTTTCCTCACCCTCAAATAGTTAAATTTCAATATTACCCTTGTTTTCCGGAATTATTTATTCGACTTTATTTACCCTAATTTTTCACTAGTTTTTTTCATTTAACCTTAAACATTACACTAAACATATATATTACTGCGGGTTGGATCCTATGGGGTTTTTTACATCACTACATTTTACAAAAACAAAATTAGAATGAAAAAAAAAAAAAAAAAAAAAAAAAAAAAAAAAAAAAAAAGTTAAAATACTCTACATACTATATTATTTGTCCTATATTACATAGAATTCTTTTGTGTCCATGTTAGGTTGTTATACAAAAATAAGAAATTTGCTCCGATTAGGTCCCTAAGATGGGCTATAGCATATTTAATAGTTAAGGTCCATTTTGGTTATTAGTTTTTTTTGTACATCTAACTCCTAAGGTCCATTATAAAGAAAATATTTTTTTTTTTTTTTTTTTTTTTTTTTTTTTTTTTTTTTAAGACCATTATATGCTATTTTTACAATTATTACTTATATTTATTATTATTATTAGTAATTAAATTGTAGTATATTCTTATCCATATTTTATTATTCATTAATTATGATTATGTAACTGATTGAAATAAATCATGCTGAAATATTTAAATAAATTGCCATGAGTGGGAGCAAATAAACGGTAATTTTTTATATCTTTTTATCTCACTAATTGATTAAAATAAATTATAATTAAATATTTAATCAGTTGTCACGAGTGGACACAAATAAATGTATTAAACATTTATTACTTTTTATTTTATATTATGTGATTTTTATAAAATTATTACTTACATTTTTCGTTTATTATCAGTAATAATTAATTGATAGTATCCTATTTTCTACGTTTTATTTGTCGTATATAATATTCGTATTACAATCTAATAGAGATAACAAGTATAGGTCAAGTATCATTAGTAAAGGGTTGAAATGTCTTTTATATCATTTTATTCTCTTGCAATTTGTAGATTTTTTTTTAATGGTAAATATAATTCATTTCTATATTACTCCTTAATTCTATGTATGTCCACAAAAGGATTTGAACTCTCTACGACTCTACCTCTCTACGACTCTACCTCTTCAAAAAGGAATAACAACACCTAATACCGTTGGACTAGAAAATAAGTTTTAGTGATAACAGAACAACGAGTAGCAAAACTGAAATGTTTTCCTCATATTTAAGGTTTCTATTAAAGGATTGAATTGTTTTTCACATCTAATATTCCTATTACAAATTACTAGATATAGGGTGTGTTTGGCAAAAGTAGTTGTTAACTGAAAATGGGTAGCTGATAGCGGGTAGCTGGTAGCGTGTAGCAGGTAGCTGGTAGCGGAAAACTGTAGCTTTTATTTGTTATATGTATGTTTGGAAAAAATAGTTGGAAGCTTTTGAAATATATAAAATTACATAAAAGGACATTTGATTAAAAATAAATAAATTTGTTTGACAGTAAGAGTGTTTAGCTTTTAGTTTTAACAAAACGCTCCGATTCTAAAAGCTACTTCATGTAGCGTTTAGCAAAACGCTTATGAGCTTTTGAAATCAATTTCCATAATTAACCCTAAAAATATATAAATATATTTTTAGGGTTAATTATGGAAATTGATTTCAAAAGCTCATAAGCGTTTTATTAAACGCTACATGAAGTAGCTTTTAGAATCGGAGCATTTTGTTAAAACTAAAAGCTAAACACTCCTACTGTCAAACGAAACTTTTTGTCTAAACTAGAGCGTTTTATCAAAAGCTAGAAGCTAAAAGCTAAACACTCATACTGTCAAACGAACTT